TTGCTGCTAGGATCCTCACTGATTGTGCCTTGGCACTGTCTCCTGATGCTGCCAGGGGCCTGTTCCACCAGAGTCACTGAGTGTTCTGTGTAGAAATAAGTAGAATAATAGTATGATCTTCTCCCCAACTTCGTGATGCTCTTTGTCTCCTGGATCCCACATAGTACTATATGAGCTTCAATTCTCCCCAAAACCCTGACTTCCAAAGCTGATCTCAGATTTTCTTTTTAGATACACATTCTGACCCCAAATCAGCTTGATTAGATGGGCTACAATAACATTCCTGGGTCTGGAAAATCTCCAAAACCTAATGGCCAAATCATTACTATTTCCTCCCCTTCTCTGCCTCTTTTCCTCCCACCCCTATTCCTGGAACAATATATTTACCACTCAAGGATGCAGTGGACAGTTGTGCAGGTTGTAGACTGTGAAAGTAATACCCTCTAGAACTGCACAGCTCATAATCATGCCAACTGGCCCTGTTAGTATTAAAGTCATTATTGCTGACCTCCTAGCCTTGTGGCTTTAGCAATCTATTCTTTTATTAGGCACTACATTAAATAAATAACTTTAAACATTTTAAATAAGTAAATGATCAGTAAAACCAGTAGCTTATAACCTGTATTACTCAAAGAGTAGACCTTGGACTGGCAGCAGGAGCATCACCTGAGAACTTGTAAAAATGCAAACTCTGGGTCTCACAAAGACTCCTAAATCAGAATCTTTGGAGTTTGGGCCTGAAAGTCTGTGGTTTAACAATCTTTGTAGGCAATTCTTCACAGGTTCATGTTAAAAGTACTGGTCTACAATCTACACAATCTCTTGAATTGGGCTAAGCTAACAGGAGTTGAATGTAGGTGAGATATAACAAAAGTAAATAATAATGTATAATTATAATACATTAACATATGTATTACATATGTATTATATAAGTGTAATAATGTGTCACTGATGCTTCCAATTAAACCTCTTGGAAAAGGGGGCCGACAGGGATTCAAAATCTGTTACTGGGAATGTTCTTATCTTGGCCAGCCTCTAACAAGCATATCACATGTAAACAGGGAATGGGGATAATGACAGAGAACTTACTGGACTGTTGTGCAAATCAAAAGAGAAACTAATATGATGGTTCTATGCTCCCAAATGTTTATAATTCTTATTCATAATATGACTCTTTTAAGTCACTTGAATACCATTTATTAAATTTCCACTTTAGGGAACTAAAATAGTATATGGCAACTCCCCAAAACGCTTTTATCCATGTTTTTCTACTCATGCGTAATTGAAGAATGCCTCATTATACTACACCTTCTACAAATTGCTCCTGGAAGGGGCAAAGCTTTCTTTCTTTTCTGTTTTTTTAAGGATGGATTTTTAAAATCTTTTGTATTAATGACTATTCATTATGAATCAGAATAAAAGATATTTTTGCCCCTCCAGTAAGTTATATTTGACGATCACATGCTTGGACAATTTCAGTCCACTTTAGAGGTACAAATGGGTCCTTTTAAGTGCCATTATTTTTAAAAATTGTTATTTTTGCTACAAATTCATTAACAATTGAAAACTTGAATTAGAAGTAACCTAAAAATATCTTACTTTATGTCAATGAAGTCTATTAAATACAAATGAAATTCATTTTTGCAACATTCAGCGAAGAACATATCACACCTAATGCAAATCTGTTCTCAGATTTTTTAGAAAATAATCTGAACAAAGAGGAACTAAGTAAAATGTAATTTTAATATCATACTAACATGACAGAATAGGAGAAATAGAAGGTCAAAATGTTGCACTCATTTTTAGTTAATTAAGGTAAGCCCAGGAGGTTTCATTTTAATTATACACCAGAGGTGATGTCTTCAGGGAGTTCGAATAAATGCTCATTATCAATTTGAACTTAAAGTAGGCATTGGAAAATATCTGCATAAATTCAGTAAAATCATCACACTTCCGTTAAATCCTCAAAGTTCATTGGCAGTTTTCCTTTGTTTTGCTCTAAGCTTTTTACCCATAATAAAATGAGAAACCATATATGACAGGACCTAGCACACAAGTTGGCACATATGCTCATAAGAAATGTTAGTTTCCTTTCTTTCCTTGCCCTTTATTAAACTTAAAGAGACTTATTAAATCTCTGGTCACATATTCATCTAGGATTTTTTTAACCATTTTTAAAACAGCAAGTAAATATTCTTACTTAAAACTCCAGGGAATATTAGAGCTATTTGAAGACAAAATTTTTCAAGTACTAGTAAGTGCTTAAAGTATTGCATAATCACACATATTAATAGTAAACATTTTAACATGAGAAGGGTTTTGCATATGTTGCTGATGCTTACATTTTTAACCACTATTTTCAGGGATTACAAATTAGTCATAGAATTTAATTCAGAGGAAAACTAGGAACCTCAGATGATAGATGATCAAGTCAAAAGGAATTCATATTTAAAATAAAAGCAAAAAAATTATTTAACTGTTTTTAGATCATTGGAAGAAATTCAAAATCAGAAATATATTTTGAAATGAATAATTCTGCAGTAATAGAATTCTCAATATTTTATTTCTTACAATTAAAATTTGTAGATTTACATATAAAACAATATAATGATTCAGTTGTATAAATCTACAAGTTAAAATCAATGTTATTACTATGCACAGCATTTGTTACATATTAATTACATTGTTTGGAGTGTGTGGTGTGTGTGTGTGTGTGTACATGTTCACAACACAAATGGACTCAAGAATGTTTAACTTTTCTAAATTCAGAAATGCAGGACCAATTTTATCCCCTTCCAATTTGAAATTAGGGGTCTCAAAGATTCCAGACTGGAATACAGGAAATGAAAGTCCCTGCAATGCCCACAGAATAGGTACCAGATGGAGAGCAGGGTTACCCAGTATTTGGGACAAGGCAGCCCAGAAGATTATATCCTAGGAAACAACAAAATGAAAGTAACTGAACCATAAAGTACATGTTGTGGCTCATTTATGTAGCCAAATGCACAAGAACTGTCTTGCCTTCTCTGTTTAACCATTTAGGGTAGAATCTTAAACAGGGCAATAAAGGACTTTAGATCAATCTAGTTTGATCTCTTTATTGTACAAATGAGGCTCAGAAAGATTAAGTGACTCGTTCATATCACAAGGAGTAAATGGAAGAACAGGGTCTTAAACTCTAAGTTCTCAGTCGAGTGCTTTCCCCACTATAACCTACGGCCTTTCTCCGGTATTAATTACCAGCATCACAAACGCTGTGTGAAGGCTGAAGTGAAAGCTTGACTCTGACTTTGTGGGTACAATCAGTGAGGGACTCCAGTCTTGCCCAGACCTGCTTTGAAGTTTGGCCCTGCACAAGTGAGAAGCCCTAAGGAATCTCTAGAATGAAGAAACACACCCCTTCAAGAGTGATTATGTGGTGTGTGAAGATGCACCCAAAAAGACAGACTGGAACCACATTATAGGGTCGTCTATATCCAGACTACTAAATCTGGAAGTTATTTGGCATGCCAAGGCATGTCCCTCCCGATGCCCAGAACAGTGTAGGTATTAATGTTTGTTATATGAATAATGAGCTGTTGATAGTTTTGAGCTGGTTCTGGGCTGTGTTCTTATCAGACATGTACTTCAGGCTGCTAGATCTTTGACTGAGGCTTGAGGAGGCTGGTGGTTGGGAGAGTAGATGTAATCACAAAGATGAAAAAGAATCTACAGTAAGTTCTAAAATTTTAACATATGTAAGTATACTTTTAATAGCCTTATTGGTGCATAATTAGACTTTTTAATAAAAGGATTGCTCATAGGTGAATTCAAAATATTTAAGTTTAAGTGGAAGAAACCAGACACACAAAACTTGAGTCAGTGCAGCTCTTCTAGCAAGCAGACACCAAGAGATAATTGAAGGCCAAGAGATACCTTACAATAAATAAGGGAGAGAGGAAGTAGATACAAGTAGGAGAGCCATCATGCAGCAATACCAGTCAGACACCTATGAGAGGACAGTGGGGAAGAAGAAGGGAGGAGGAAGGAGGGTTAGGTAGGAAGTATCTTAGACTGGGGGACATCTCTGAGAAAGACCTGGCTAAGCTGATGGGGATCCCTAGAGCAAAGATTGCCCATAGGGGGATCCCATGTTGGCCAGCAATAGCTTGGCTTTGGTGCCTTTACCATGCCCAGTCATTGGCTGGGGGCAGCCTAGGGCAAGTGTGGTTTTGGCGGAATTCTGCAATGGATCCTGATAGTGCAATAGCTAAAGGCCATGGGCTCACTGCACTGCTTGCTGCAGGTTTTCTCCTGAAGGGACATCTGAGTGGCACACATCCATGACAACTGCAATAGTATTTGATTCCATCTGCACGAAGTTAAAAAACAGGCAAGTCAAGATAGTGGTTACCTTTAGGGACAGGTCATAGCTGGAAGGGGATACAAAAGGGGCTTCTAGGGTACTGATAATGTTCTGTTTTTTAATGTGGGCGCTGGCTACACATCAGGTATGTTTGCTTTGTGAAAAATTCATTAAGAGCTGTAGACTTATGATTGTGCATTTTCCTGTTAGGTAATATTAATGCCAAAAGATAAAATAAAAAGATTGCTTAACAAGTTCAAAATAAAATAATATTGAAGAGTTTACTATAGTAGAAAATATCAAAAAGTTTGTTAGAAATTCAAATAATTTACTTTAAATATAATAAAAATATAGACTAAAATGAAACAGTGTGGACCAAGAGAGGTCACAGGGGCAAGGATGACAGATTCTGGCAAGTTTGTAAGGCTTCTAATTTGGAAGCAAGGTGGGTGGGGATTAGAGCAGAGAGAGGAACCTATGAATAGAGGCCAGTGGTGGTGGGTTGAGGGGGGCAAAGATTACCATAAAAGAATGATCAGGCAGGGTGTGGAGTCCCAGCAGACAAAACAGCATTAGCAACCGGAAAGCCAAGTTGGACAAGACAACATAGATGCATTTTGGAATCAACTCTTTGCATGCAATATTTAGCACACACCTTGTCAGCTACAGGAGAGAAACATGCCAATATGTAGACTGGGGGCATCAAGCAGAATTATTTGACCACGAGGTTGGATTTCAGGTCCAAGGCTGGTTATCAGGTAAATGGATGAAGCTACTGAACCATCAATTTTGTTGGCTTTCCTCTCATCACTGGTAAAAGGAACAAACATAAAACAAACAAATCAATTGTTTACATACATCAGGAAAAGATGACTTTCCTATAAAACAGATTAAACTTTAGCAACTTGGAAAAGGTGGTTCACTTGTGGTACGAAAATATCCATCGGTTATATGTGACTCTGAGTAAAAAATATGACTCGGGAGAAAAGTGAGAGGACTGTAAAATTCATGGAAGGGCTATTTGCAGAAAAGCAAATTTCTAATTGCTTGACTTTAAGTAAATTTTTGATTTTCACTATAAATTCTTAAGTTCATGGTTTACTGAAATAAATCCTTATATTTGTTCAGTAAATTACTTATTTTACGTCTTTTTTTGCACGTATGATTTCTTTAGTTCTTTGGATCAGCTGTGATGTCTGTGGAATGGATTCAGTTTCTTCCTTAATTTAAAAAATAGAGGGTTACATTAGTCAGTGTTCTCCAGAAAACAGAATCAATATTGGTAGTGGGGGGAGAGATTTTAAGGGATTGGTTCATGTGCTTCTGAAGGCTAGCAGGTCCAAAATCTGCAATGTGGGCTGGCACTCTGGAGACTGAGGAATGGGCTGATGTTGCAGTTCAAAGTCCAAAGGCTGACCGTCTGCTGCAGAATTCACTCTTAATCGGGTAAGTTAGCCTTTTTGGTCTTTTCTGGTCTTCAACTTACTGGATGAGGACCACTCACGTTATGAATGGCAATCTGCTTTACTCAAAGTCCACCAATCCAAAAACACCCTTACAGAAACATCCAGATTAGTGTTTGACCACATATCTGGGCATTACAGCCCACTCAAATTGACATATAAAATGAACCATCATAAGGTCTTAGAGTCCAGGACTTACTCAAGTCTATGGAGTTAATTAGTCACAGAATTGTTTCTAAAATTCTGGGCTTCTGACATTAAGTTCCCTATACGAGACTTACTGAGCACTAGAATTAAGGGATAGTCTTCATAAATTCTGATTTAGGGAGCAAGAATGGAAAGGAGTTAGCCAGCAATGTCAGTTATAATTCCGTAAGTGCTAAAAGCAAGAATCAGACCCTAGATAATTAGGAACCATGAAAAACCTTACTCCTCCTTAGTTAATATTATGTGTAATTATACAAAATTACAAAACCATAAATGAACTCAAAATAAGAGAAAAGAAACTAAACTATCTGCCTAAATTTAAAAGATGCCTGTAGAGACGCTCAAGTTCAGGCGTGGAGTATTTCGCTACAACATCTAGTTGCAGTAGATGTGAATAACCCGGCAATATATGGGGTCAGGGTGGGCTGGCGAGGAGCGAGGTTCAGCTGGAAGGCTGGTCTGTTCTGGGAAGTCTGACCTATAGTGGGGGGCAGGCTTAGGCTTTCAGACTTGTAAACCAGCAGAATAAGTAGGGTTTCAAGCAGCATAGCTTTCCCTGCCATCCACACATCGTTCCCCATCCTCCTCATCTTGGCAGGAGTTTCTGTGTCTCTGACGGGCTGGCCAAAGCAAGTCATCATCATCACGATGATGTAAGATCCATGGCAAAAATTTACATTCTAAACCCATAGATCCATGAACTGATGATTCTGGAGGCTTCCTTTTCGCAACAGAGTAAATTCACACACATTGCAGTCTCCTACTCCTATTTACTTGTGATAATGAAGAATACAAATTGTATGCCTCTTTGAAGATCTCAGATAATCCCCAAACCTAATTTTAAGTTAAATACTTTCAACTTCCTGCCTCACTAAACAGCTGTTCTTTTGGTCAATTCTTCTCGCCCTCCCTTTGCAAATCCTAGTGGGGACAAAACAGCATGCACAAATGTGTGTACTGTTTTTATATGCTAAAAATTTCATGGCTCAGCTGTACATAAATTGTTATATTTCAAATATGCCCCGAGTGAGGGACTTGAGATTTAAAATCATCCCAAGGTAAAGGAAAAAGTCCTTTGATTTTATAGTGTTCATGTCCAAATTTACCTGCCATATAATTCTGATTTTTATAAGTCGTATTTGCTAAAAGGAAGGTAAAACAGTGTTAATAGAAAGATGGGTGAGCAATGCAATTAATTGAGCACCTACTAAGTGCCAAGTAGTATGCTGGACATGGCCCTGAGTACTCAGTGAGAACAAACCATGTTGAACATCTCTGCTTCTCAATAAGTATTTCGTAGCCCACCTTTGACGCTCGGGATAGGCCTTAAGTTTCTAATGAAAGGCAAGCTCCAATATTTAGCATAGCCATGGAACAATAAACGTGCAACTGCTTAAGACAAAACAATGAATCACGTTTCATTTCTCTGCCTGAATAAGAGAAGCAGTCCTTTGTCCTGCCTTTGCTTCATGCTCAGCAGATGCTGGCTTCCCCCAAAGATAAAGCGTTCTTTGTGTGCTGTGCCCTCAGCTTCTCTGGGTATAGGATGGCAGCTTCTGTATGCAGATGCTGAAAAATCTTTCTGAGAGTGTTTACATAGTAGTTGTCTCTTGAGCACACGCTTATTTTTAGTGGTAAATTATCAGAGCTTGTGAGGCTGAAACCTCAGCTACTTTTTGCATGTGTTTTAAGTAACCGAATTTCAGACTCAGAAACCATAGACCACATATCAGCCATGACAATAGTTTTCAGACCTCACCCTCTCATCATGCCAGGTAACTGAAATTGATTAATGACTTACCGATTTAACCATGGTCAGTGAGGGTCCACAAAATGCTTATTTTCAGATTATTCATAGTTGGAAGTCAATTTATTCATCACCAAGAAGAATGAGCTAAAATACTGCTCTTTGTGGAGGTAGAAACCTTAGATCAGTGATCTCAAGTCATTGCTCAGCATCTGTAGAGAGCCAGAGCAAAGAAAAAGGGTCAAGTCCTAAGACCTGATGGAAAAACTGCTTAAATTGCTAATAGGGAGGTGAGGCTGCCTTGGATACTTAGAATTCCACAGATGCTGCCCTCAGCAATATCCTTGATACTGCCCGAAAGTGGCAAAGATTGCTCCAAATCCTTCCGGAAGAGACCTGGGAGACACAGTAAACTCATATTCAAGATAGCTGTTTTTATGGGGCGCAGCAAATGAAGAGCAGAGGCTCTGCCCCAGGCTCTCTGCTTTGTGCTTTGTCACCTCAGAGATTTAAGGAAGCAGCTTCATTCACGGATGACCAGGAAGGTTTAAGGGCAACACAGATTTTTTTTTTTTTTTTTTTTTTTTAAGTCAGGACTCTTGGTTCTAAGCAACAGAACTCAACCTAACTTTTACTTTTTTTTTTCTCTTTTGCATTTTATTTATTTATTTATGTTTATTTTACTTTAAGTTCTGGGATACATGTGCTGAACATGCAGGTTTGTTACATAGGTATACATGTGCCATGGTGGTTACTTTGCTACACCCATCAACCCGTCATCTAGATTTTAAGCCCTGCATGCACTAGTTATTTGTCCTTGTGCTCTCCCTCCCCTTCCCCCCAACCGGCCAACAGACCCTGGTGTGTGATGTTCCCCTCCCTGTGTCCATGTGTTCTCATTGTTCAACTCCCACTTATGAGTGAGAACATGTGATGTTTGGTTTTCTGTTCCTGTGTTAGTTTGCTGAGGATGGTAGTTTCCAGCTTCATCCATGTCCCTGCAAAGGACATGAACTCATTCTTTTTTTGTGGCTGCATAGTATTCCATGGTATATATGTGCCAGTCACATTTTCTTTATCCAGTCTATCATTGATGGGCATTTGAATTGGTTCCAGGTCTTTGTTATTGTAAATATTGCTGCAATAATCAGCTTCTTAAACTCTCAGTTATATGAAACAAACAGAAAATCTTCCAAATGGATACATAGAAAATGTTTTGTTTCATGTAACTGAGAGTCTAAGAAATATATCCAAGGATTCAAATGATGTCATCAGAATTCTATGCCTCTTTCCATCTCTGGACTCTGCTTGTCTTTATTCCACATGCATACCCTCTCCACATGGTGGACAAGTTTCCTGTAGTACCTGGTTAGAAGTCACAGTGGAAAAAATAGCTGCCTCTACTGTGTCCATATGGCAGTCCCAGAAATGGACTTTGATTGGCTCCACTTGGACCACATGTGCATCTCTGGGCCAATCACTACACCTTGAGAGCCATGATTGAATAACCTGACTCATGTGCCCACTCCTATGGCCAAAGTAGGTGGGGCTGTGTGATAATAGCTCTGTGAGAATCTCACCACATATGCAAGGGGTGGGTTCTTCAAGGAAGGGATGATAATGAACAAAAACAATGCCCAGTATAATATAAGTAGTTCATAGAACTCTAGTAGTCTTAAAAATAGATTACTGACTGCTCCTTTTTCCACCCACACTCTTCCTTTGTCATTCAAGGCAGTCCTTGATACACTGTGTATGCACTTGAGATAGGTCCAAATAAGTCATGTACTAACCTACACCTAATAAACCTTAGGTTGTTACTGCTTTCATTAAGCCAACTTTTTAAAATTAACCGAACAATTTATTATTTTAGTTATTTCAGAGCCAGGGTTTTGCTATGTGGCCCAAGCTGGACTCAAAATCTTGGGCTTTTTAAACGATCTTCCCACCTCAGCCTCCCAAGTAGCTGAGATTACAGGCATGGGTCACTGCACCAGCTAAGCCAAATTGTTCTGTTAGGATAGCGTGCCATTGAGTGATATTTGGTAGACAAAAATACAGAGGAATATAAGCTTCTTAGGAGGCAGAATTTGGTTTCATGTCTGTTTGTTTCTGCCATAACAATGAACAGTGTCTAGCACATGAAGGGCCTAAATTATTGTTTGTTAAGTAGACCAACATGTCCTTTGGGGGCTTGGTAAATCCCACAGCTAAAGAATCTACATCTTCTGAGAACGTCTAGTTTTCCCAGACTCTTCCACACCAGAAATCCCATCTTTTTTTCACTAAAGGATTTCCTTTAGCTAAAGACCTTGGGAAGAGTCTAGGCAGGTAACATGTGAGATTGGCAAAGTGTGTTGGCTGATGTTTTAGAGTTAGGTCTGATTTTAAAATTTCTAATTTTCAATAAAATTTCCAATACATTGGGTTACCTCAGTGTGATGGTGAATTGTATGTGTCAACTTCACTGGCCGTGGAGTACCCAGATTAAACATTTCTGGGTGTGTCTGTGAGGGTGTTTCTGGATAAAATTAGCATTTGAATTAGTGGACCCAGTAACTAGGTTGCCTTCTTCAATGTAGAAGGGCATCATCCAATCATAAAAGGTGGAGGAAGGAGGAATTTCCTCCTTTTGCTTCTTGCCTTCTTGTTTGAACTGGGACTTTGGTCTTCTCCTACCCTTGGACTAATATTTACATCACTGGCTTATTTTGGTTCTCAGGCCTTCAGACTTGGACTGAATTACACCACTGGCTTTCCTAATAGCATGAGCCAGTTCCTCATAATAAATTTCTCTCCTTTTCATTCTCTCTCTCTCTCTCTCTCTCTCTCTCTCTCTCTCTGAGAGATATGTAGATATATGAGAGACGACATATAGTTTCTTTGGAGATCCTTGACTAATATACTCAGGCAAATTATTTAATATCTTGGATCCTCAGTTTCCCCTGGTAGTATTATCCTTAGTGAAAGGGTAATAAAAATACCTACTTCACAGATTGTTAGGAAGAACAACTGAAATAATATTTGAGAAAATTGGCACATATTAATAGATTTTGTTGAGGGAGCAGAGACAGGTACTGATAGGTGGACCAGAAACAAAAGAAACTAAAATGGTAACGGGTTGAATGGGGAAATCAAGGGCCCAGAAGACAAAATTTATTTATGTAAGGCTGTCCACTGTGATGTATTTGTGCTGTTGTGGCTACAAAAGCTAAAATCATTGGTAGAGAAGATATATCCATTAATCAATTAATTGCCGCCAATCTTGTACCCCTAGGGCACAGCATCTATGGTTTGGTCACAGTATATTTTAAAAATTCATCTAGTGGCATCATAACAAAATTTCAGGGATAGCTATCAAAATGAAACAACAATCACTCTAAGAGGAGGTGCTAAAAATCTAACAGCAGAGTTGAGAACATCTTTGAGGGGGCACACCAGTTAGTGGCATTTGTATTAAGCTCAAAGATACATTCATAAACTGTACTAGAATATGAAAATTTTAGAGAAATAGCATAGTATTAGACCTTACTTTTATAGTTACTAGAATGTAAACATTCTCCCTAGAGACACAACCCTCCCCTCCATGGCTTATGCTGAATTAAGTAGTACTATATTTGAGGAAGTTTTACATTTCCTTCAATGCAAATCTATTTTAAGGTCAGCGAAGCTCAACTAAAAATAAAAGCCCAGCGTGGGCCTGCTGCTAATGCTTTATACATTGCATTTATATAAGAACTGGCTGGCTTATTGCTGTGTATTGATATCTAGTAGAACTGTTGTTATATGTTGATTATTTCTGTGTTGGCCAACTAGGAATTATGAATGACTATGCCCTGACAACAATTTTTAGTTGCATGTGAAAAACTTGTAAAGGATGGGACTTACAGTTTTGAAAACATTCTGTACTGTGATTTTAGAAAAAAATGCGATCTAAAATAACAGACAGAAAAATTAAGTCCCACATTAGTCCTCCATGGATCTGCACATGGTTTTAGGATTGGCCCAAGGTTACTTCCAGCTCAGGTTGTCCCTTTTCTTGCCTTCAATGGGTCTGGGAGATTTGTCCCCTCTCTGGTTTCCTCTGGGGGAAATAGGAAAGGCATACTTGAGACAATGGCAGAGAAGTTTTTAAATAATTACAAAAATAATCTTACCATGTACTCCTTTGGCAATTGTCACTGGTTGATAATACCTGGTGGCTCTGCAACCCACAGACCTCTCACAATCAACATCGCTAAAGCTTGAATTAATTCTTTTCCTGCCAAACCTGTTGATTCATCCTTGCTTACTAATCTGTGCTGATGGCACCATTTCCACCCTGTCAGCCTGACAAGAAACTTGAGTTACCCTTGAGTAGTCCTTGTCCTTTATATCTAATTGACCACCAAGTACTTCCCCAGGATATATCCAAAAAGTTTTTAGTTCCATTCTCCCTCTCCATTATCATTGTCACTGTCTGATTCAGACACTATTTTTCCCCTTGACTTTGGCAAGAGTTCCCATTGAATCTCTCCTTCCCTTCCTACACTCTTCCTTCTTATATATTATCCATGTAATAGACAGATACATTTTTACAAAATGTGATCATTTACTTTCTGGCTTAAAAAAAAACCCAGTCATCCACGATTTTAGTTAGTAACTCTGGCCTAGAGAAAATATTACCAATATTTAAGTATTCCATCATGAAAAGAATTGACAATCATTATTATTAGATAGGTGCAAAAATAATTGTGGTTTTGGCCATTAGCCTAATACATTAATATTGCAACAAAATTTATGGGAAGAGGAAACTTAATGAAGCAAGATCAGCACAAACAATTTATTAGAGCTTCACCTAGGAAACTAATGTGTATTATATTGAGAATGTTGTCTCAGAACTTTGTTAAGATGAGGACTTCTTAAAGAGATTTATCAGTCTCTATTTGTACCTCAAAATGGAGACTTAAAATAGCAACTGGTTAAAAGTTAAAGCAGACTATATTTCTTAAAAGATAATTGAGCCATTTTCTAATCAAAACCAACTATCAAAAGTACAATAAAAAGTGACAGATAATGAACTACCACTATTTTCATTTAAGTCCAACATACCACATGTACTTCCAACAACAACAACAACAAGAAAAAGCACATAAACTGACTTAAAGTATTTGGAAGCCTAGAACAAATTTTTAATCATAGTAATGCTTTTTCATAATTTTCTAATA